TTCCCTGTCAAACTGTTTAACAATACAAAAACTGTCTTTGTAAAAATTCGAGTGTGTTTTCCCGAAAATTGAGTGTAAATGTTTCCATAGTTCCTCCCAGGAAGTAAAATCCCTAAATCTTACGGCTTGATGGGCCTTGTCCATGAGTTTCGCTAAAATAGTGGACTTTAAAGCTGCATCAATGTGGTTCATAATAAAATCGCATTTTGTTTCGTATTTCGTGTAAACGTTCTCAGGCCCCCCTGCAAATTAGCGTATTTATTTTATTGCCTCTCCAAAAGTAAGTGTGACTGTCATTGTTGTTAATGGTTGTAATACTATGTTGTTATCAGGGAAAAAATGTTGGTATAAATCTACTAGATCGTTAGGGTCCCAGGTTACAGTAGTATTTATTGAAGTACCTAAATTTGACTCGGCGATACTGTCCTCAGGTGTATTTTCCCCCTGCTTTTTATTCTTTTGAGCCCTAGGAATCATTTACTGAGCGTAAACAAAAGCGAAATAAAAACTGTATCCTTTTCAAAGGAAAAGCCTCTAGAGTGACAAAATATTCTAAATAATAATAATTTACAATGGTTCCATAATGTTGACAAAATTTAGTTGACAGCTCCCGAAGATTGTTGAAAATTCATATTCGTCCATCTGATTGCTGATAGACGTGTAGACTGAAGTTGGAAAAATCGTACTGGTCGGCTGAATCGGTGGACAGCGAACCCGTAAACCAATTTAAAAAATAATTGGGTTTGAAGTTGAAGCGACGTTGGCTCAGTGAACCGTTAAAGAAGTCCTCAGGTTACTTACTCGGATTAGTTTTCGAAAAAAACGTTACCAATTTTTATTTCAACTGAATAGACCTTACACGTGACACCAAAAATATATAGTGAGCCGGACTGGTTAGTGCAATTTAAAACCATATACTGACAAAAACACTTGTAACGCACGTCTCTTTCGTGTTTAGGTAAAATTTTGAAGTTTAAAAAAATAAACAACACTTTAAATGGTTGAAGAAGTACTGTAACTCCAGAATTCCTGAGACTCAGACTCACTAGCTCGTGGATCGAACATACAAGAAAACGATTCCAATGGTCGTTCCGTCTTTTAAACAAACTAAGTCTGATTTAGTCTGGTCAAAGTCTTGTCTAAACTCTAATCTTACACTAGAACGGCGCATTGTATATGTACTACTAATTTCCAAGGGCGCCACCCAACGTAGATCTAACAGGACCTTCGAGAGAGTGTGCGGTTAAAAAACCAAAAGCGGTTCTCCAGGCCCTGCTAGTCATGTTGCCTTTACCGAGGACGACTGTGTCTTACAATAGCGGATCCCGGGAACAAGTTAATAACTACCAATTATAAAATAAAACATATCCTAAGATCCTACAACTATCACCGTTTAATATAGCCCCGAACACTGATTAGGATACAACAAGAGTAAAACTTAATAATTACGTAAAATTATATGAACCGAATATAAATGAGTATAAAAATCCATAAGGGCGTTTAGGAGACCCGTTAAAAAATAGTAATAATCCCAGAATACTACACCTTGTTCAAAATCAATCGATTTGCTATAGCCTGTTTTAGATTTCTGTGGATAATGTAGTTTTTCCGGGGACCCAGAACAGCCATCAGCTTCGTGAACGGAAGATCGTTTTGCGATACATAGAGATTTTCAGAATACGACATGTTTACCTCGTATACTCTACCCACATCCGATGTATCGCTAATATCGGTCAGCCCATCGAGTGTCAGCTCGACCCATTAAAACCCGCCGTGTGGCATCAACTAAGACTTGGCCTATCCGTATAACCGTATTACCTATAATATATTATAATTATACGTGATATGTTATTTTATTTGTTTACACTCACAGCCTCGAAATACAATTCACGAATCGGCCTACTCATGGTTATAATCTGGCGCTTTGCAATTATTCGGCTTCGCGTAACGCATACTAGCCTGTACCAATCCACCACGTATACCCATACACTGTAATAATATAATACTAAATTAATATAAATATAATTTTTTTTAAATTAATTATACTATTCTCGATAATAATTGTTTAGGTTTCTCGAACATAAGTAACATATTATAATCGGTTAGAAGCGCCAATTTGACTCTCGTGTACTTGAGCACGCAATTGAAGCTGAACCCGGATGCCGTATAATAGAAAGCATTGATATGGACCAACAAGTTTATGCGTACATTAAAATTTCCTTTAGGTGTTGCTAGGATGTAATCCGAAAGTATTCTGAAATAATAATAATGTGCAACTAACAATAGATCAACTAAAAAAATATTGTAAAACAATATATTCTCAGTGATGCATGTTGAAATTAACTGCCAAAAAGAAGTAATATCACAACAAAAACATTTCGCCTATAGTTACGTGTAAAAAAAAGGGCTAAGTAAAATTTTCGATTTACTTGGCGAGAACAAATTAATTTCTTAAACAGACATTTCCTAAAATGTCCTAAAAAGTTATAATAATAAATAAAGAAGAAAGTTATACAAATTACGAATTATTTTATTATTATAATGCTGCATGAATATGTTTAAATAAATAAATAAACACTTAAAATACTTTACATCTTACTTACTACATACTTTTACGAAATCTGTTTAGGAAATTTTATTTGCTCTCACTAAGTAAATCGAAAATTTTACTTAGCATCACAAATGATATCCTAAATAATATTATTATGTATTATGAGATTTTTAATTTTATCATCATTGCCTTCTTTTAATAGGAACTATCATCAATATCTAGTCATTTACATTAATTTCCTACTAAATCATGTAATATCTGTATTAACTAGTCATTGTCTTCATTGACTAATAATCATTTTTTCCGGTAACATATTAGGTATTTCGTACGGTGTTTGAGCAGCGCCAAAAATGATTTCCATATTTATGATAATAGCTATTTACAATAAAATATATAACATGTATAAAAGTGTGGAGGGTCAACAAAGATAAAAGTTATAATAAATAAACACGAATATAAAGTTAATAATAATTTAATAAAATAAAGCAAATACTATTTTCCAATATATGGTCAATATAGGGGTCATGTGACAATTTCAAATCCAGGTTCTTCATCCATTCCACCGCCTCTTCCTTCTTTTAGTGGATATCTTCTATGGTGTCTTTAAATCCATAGGCATTCGAGTGGTGATCTGTTTAGTCGTCTGGGATTCATGACCACAGTCATATGTTTCAGAGTCATGCAATCCCCATTTGAACATCATGTATCAACTCCTACTTTGGTCTGATACGGTTTAGTGTTATCTAGATATATCTCTGGTGCTCGGGTTGTTTGATAGTTGGGCTAATCACCAGTTTTTGGTCGTCTGATGGTTTTCAAGATTTCGGTCGTTTTATGTCGTTTTGTTTTGAGATAAAATGTAATTGTGACAGATAAGTTAGCGAGCAGTGTGACCATTTTTTTTTCAGTTTTATTAGGGCTAGTCAAAACTTTTGCCCCTTATCAAAAACAAAAATGACGTCACTGGATGTCAGTAAATTATTTAATTATTACTGTATTCAAATATATATTATAAATTACAATCATTCTTATAATTTTTTTTTTTTTATTTAGCGTGAAAAGATTTAGTATTATAAACTTATTTATTTTATTTTCGAGAAAGAATATGCAAATCAAATATCTGAGATATATTGAGAATGTTCATGTGAGAGTCCAACACCTAAGAGTTCTGATTTACAAATTTAGTTAATACATACACAATTTTAGCCTAAATGAATATAATTCATATAATTCACGATATTTTTAAAGAAAAAGAACAACGTATAATGTTAATAATTTTAAATAACTTTAGGAGCAAATAATTAATAATTTTTAAATCATAACAAAAACTATAGGTATCTCATTAAAAGCCTTAAATAAAAACTTAGCCATTTTGTTACACATTTCGAGATATATTTATATATATTATTCTAATCCTAACTATCCAACATAGTATTTCTGTTAGAAAAAAATGAAATAATTTTTTGTTACCTACTTCCAATCATATACACATATTATAATATATTTAGTTCAATCGATCAAAAAAATAACTGTTAATTATTTCTACAAACCATAAAATTCACATTTTAAATTAATAAATTATTAAATAAATTATTAATTCTAGTTTTTTTAGAGCCTAAATTGTATAGTACAATATACAAAGTGCGCAGCTTAAAATTCCAGTGTAAAAAAAAATGTGTTCTAATGAAAGGGCGCTTAAAAAAATAGTGCCCCGGGGTGATTAAATATAAATACGTCTTTGGATATAAATATGAATTACATATTACAATTTTAGATTTAAATATAAAATAGCATATTTAATAAAAAAAAAAAAAAGACAAATGGACGTACAAACAATTTCCAATATAAATAATCACTAAAAATTAAAGTAGAGTCTCTTAGATATTATTAAAATTATATAAACAACAATAACAATTTATTACAATAGTTGGGTTACTAATATTTTTCAGCAAACTATTTCTCACGCCCGAGAAAATGATTAGAAAACTAACCTGTTAAAATATACAATTCGATGCCACTACACTTATTTGGACCACGACACTTAAAAATATTCAATCGTTCTTTTTATCTAAAAGTTTACATTTTTATGAAGGAATAAATATTTAAAAAAAAAATATCGTATCCTTTTAAAGTAAATAGAGTTTTCTTACTTTGGTCAGAATCTATAAGTACGATATAAATATTTTAAACCACATATTATACTCGTGTATGAAAAACTATTTTAATGTTCCAAAGTTTGTTACCATCAGTGTTTTTATATTTCTAGAGTATATAAAAGTTGTTTTAATTAATTCAAACAAAACATTAATATTAAAATCGATTCATTTGAAATATCTATATTCTGTTTCCAAAGCAACATTACGTACATTTTGTCAGTTTTAGTAATAAGTAATATGGTGCGGCATTCTTCTGGTACACGATTTTATACTGAAACTAGTTTTAATATATAATGGAACTTTATTTCGGTTTATGCGTGTTATTGTGTTTGGCCGATATCTATGTTTTTTCTCAAAATATTACATGCGTGTCAAGTATTTGTAAGCCATACATGTTAAATGGGCATTATGTCAAATGGCCAAGTCCAAAAGTTGAAGCCGATTACCTAACCAAGAAAAATTACATACCAAAAAATATAATTTTCACTAGGCTTCAAACTTGCGGAAACCAAGTGTTTTTAGTTTCACCGCGTTACAAGTAAATGTATTTGTTATATATTATAAAAAAAAATCTGTTGAATAGTAAAAAGAATGTGAACACCAATTGAGATATAGGTACTCTTTTCAGGGAAGGCGTGCCATTCACCTTAAGTCACTTAAAACTAACCGGTAAAGACCAGTGCTATAATTATGTGCGACCGTATCCTACATTGGAGAAGAGTTTGGTGGGCGATCATAAATCTATTGTGAACGCTATAGATATCTATATGGGTCAAAACGGTATACTTTGGGTGTTGGATATAGGAGTAATAAATACATTGGAAGAAAAACCTAAACGAGAGTGTGAAGCAAAAATTTTAGGAATCGAGTCTGATAGTGGACGTGTAAGTATTACAAAAAGATAATTATTAGTATATTGATAGAGCTTTATCTAAATAATATGTTATGAGTTTAATTAGAAAATTCATTGGCATTATAATTAAGTAGGTGCATTGTTTTACGTTCATTCAATAACGTTAAACAGTCGCTTGTTAAAATACTTTAATACTTAAAATTGTACATATTTATTTAGGAACAATATTTGGACCCACGTTTCCCATTTAACTCTATTGTTTTTAATTATTTTTTTTTTAGATAATACACACAATATTATTAAGATCGCTAATATGCCGAGTGCGCAGTAGACTGCAGTACTTAGTCGTCGAATATATCAGCAACGACAGACCAATTATTTACATCGGAGACGGCGGTACTCGATCGATTATTGTGTGGAACGTTAAAGCCAACGAAGGCTATAGAGTCAAATTGCCACGTTCGTCTACCACTACTTGTACAGATTCGACCATGGATGATGTGTTTTATCTAGCTTTAATTGAAAATTCAAATATCACGTACATATATTTCACTTATCTGTCGAGTTCGGATATGTTTAAGGTACGCACAAAAGACTTACGAAGAAAAATTAATCCCAAGTGTGTGGTGGATGTTGGTCGGAAACCTTGTAAAATGATATTATTAGGATCTGCTTACGGGACAGTTATATACTTCCGCATCAAAGGATTGAACAATTTGTATAGCTGGGATACAAAAGAAAGTCTCCTAGAAGAAAACGTGATGTTGGTAAATTCATTATATCTAATAAATAATATTACCGAATAATAATAATGAAAAAATCATTGTCAGTTTCGACTTAATGATGTAAATTTTAATGTTAAGGTGAAGAAAAGTACAGACTGTCGTACGATAACACATATAGATGTTGATAACAATGGAGTACTATGGGAATTGGAAAGTAACATTGAAGATTTTGTAGTCAATACTGTCGGATGTTATGGCGCAAGCATAATACTCGCACCTATTTTTCGGCAACCAGCACCACTGCAGTCAAGCTAAAAACAATATTGTTTCGAGTAATACCTACGATAATGGCAGTGCAACTGTCACATAGTTTTACGTACCTATTCGAAAAAATTGTGTGAGATTATTATTTAACAACTTACCTGCACTTCTATAAAATATATACGCCGGCTAATTTACCATCAGCGCGATACAGCCGAAATTGACGCGATTGATTATTAAGTTTAGTGTAGACTATAAAGATAAAGACCACTCTATTACATATATTGTACATTGCTATGTACAAAGTACATAGCAATACACTGTACCTACTTATAGTAAAATATTGGATACCTTATCGATTCATACGTTTGTTTCACAATACAACTTTTTAATGTTTATATTATATTTTTTTAAATAATAATTCAAGAATTGCAATAGTATTTAAATAGATACAATTTCTGGTAAATTTCATACAATTATCAGTTATACCACATTATTATAGTATAATTCATTCGAGTTTCGACGATTTAAAGACAATAATTGGTTTTGATATAATAATTATTAATAACAACACTATTAATTTGTTATATTATAGTTAATTATAAAAATGTATAAATATCGAAAAAAGGTAAAAGACCTATTATATTATAACAAATAAATACCATCTATTCATCTTCTTTAAACGATGCTTGTGTTCAACATAGAAGTTACTCTATAAACCTTAATATATTATGTGAAACGTGAGAGTTCTTATAGCTTTCACTCTTGGCTGGCAATTTAGCAGTTTCTCCCGAGCTGGTTTACCTGAATTTATCTGTACGTACATTTAGTTTATTTTAACTCGTATACATTAATATTTTATTTTATTTTTTTGAAAAAGTAGCTAAAGTAATGGCAGAGAAAAAAATCAACATCCTTATTTTACGTATTAATAATTATTATATGACAAAATATTATAAATTATTGTTTGTGTGTATGTTTTATATGTATATAATATATATAATATAAAATATAATATAAAAACTAAATATAATACATAATAATACTAAAACTAAATTAATTTTTCATTCAAAAAAAAAAAAAAGTTATAGATTAAATAATTGTTTAATGCTTATTTTAAAAGTACCTATTTTAAATAATCTCCACCGTAAAATGATAAATAATAGGTACCTAATAAAGAAACCCACATTAAACTCAGAAGGTCATTACAGATACAATTGAATTGAATAATGGACAGTATTTTTGTTTTACATACTTTTAGACGGTTAAGGAATAACCGCCGTTCGTTAATATGTAGGTATCTGTTTTTAATAAATCACTGGATGATAGGTACCGAATTATACAAAATTCCTATAATTTCATTTTTCTAAAATTGTTCATACTCTTTTTATACACATAAAAGAAGTTTGTAACAAAACCAGAAATCGCCTAATAAATGTTAAAAGAACTCGTTTAATATCTACATCGCATACTGTTTAGAGTGTAAATTAAAATAATAACAATTCTTATTTCTGAGCCACTAGTTAGTATTATACATTTTAACGACGTACAATATTGTTTTAAGATATAATAGAAATATGACATACCATTTTAACTACCTATATCCCCAACAATTATTTTCGAAATAACATGTCCTTAATATTTTAATAATTTCAATGATCACACTCAAATTGTGATTATGGTGCGCAAACTCAAATAGGTAATGATTCGGCCGTACTAACATAACATATAATATCTTCGATTAGCATAACGCATTGATGATCGCACAGTAATCATTAAAATGTATTTCTCTTTTTATTAATTTCTGTAATAAAAATCATCCGAAGGGAACTAAAAATAGTATTCAAAAGCGACGAGCAAGGCGTCGATAGGCGTAGAACCTTAAAATATAAATCAACCAACATAATTGATTCTGGATCATTACATTTCACTAACTCAGCCACGATACATTCTTGTAAGAAAGACAGACTTCTATAAAATAAAACGATTATAATAATATTAATTTGTTAAGTAAGTTGTATACATTATTAGCATACTCGCAAAGGCCGTCTTCCACTGTTAATGCCGTAGTTTCATTAAGACTGAAGGACTTATTAACACAACGTTGAATCGATTCTTTTTTGTGCATCAAACAGTCCGGATCGCGAATGGTGTAAAATACTAGGAAAATGAATACATTGATTTATATACAAAACAGATATTGTCGTAAAAAAAATATGGCATATGATCATTATTACATGGTATATGATTATCCTTATCGTGGCACAGGGTTGATAATAATGCTTCAGAAATATTCTGAAAAATTGTAATGTTAATTTTTTTTTCATTGTCGTCTTGACATATTTTGTTTACAGTTGATGTAAAATTTAAAACATATTTATTAACTTTCGTTAACTTTCTGCAAAAAATATACATTTTTAATTTATCCATGTTCAACTTCGAACCTATCTTACTCACGCGCAGTATTTTTTAAATACTAAATCAATTTCTCCATTCGATTTTGATTCGCTATAGTCTTGTTTTAATTCTGTGACATTTATTAATGATTTTACTTGTGTCCTATAATCGTCCAAAGCTTTCTAAAATAAAAACCTTACCTAATTAAAATATATAAATTATCATTTAATTAAATTAGTATTAAAATTAAAATTCAAAAATTATATTGTATAATTATACCTATTATAGTAGTAACTATTCTGCAGAGTAGTATTTTTTTGTTACTCCCCACTACTCCGTTCTTCTAAATATTAAAGTCTACCTAATATTCAGAGGGAAAAAAATTTTAACAAAAAACTATAGTATAAAATCTTTCAATACAAAATAGTAGAACTATATTCACTTCGTTTACCATTTATAATAATCAAATTCCTATAGTAGCTTACTAGCATAAATACATGAACCAAATATACAGGTAATTATAAAATAAATGTAATGGGCTTACTATAACTGTGTTATCAGAGTTGTTCAATTTACTATTTGCCAAACAAAACTTTCTGAGAGACATTTTTTCATCTTCGATTGTCGTTTCGTTATAAGCTTTATTATACGGAATTAAGCCACTAAAATTTATTTTGATTTGCATATGGTTTGGGTTTGGATACCCTTCAACGTCTCTAACGCCCCAGTTCCCAAAAACACCTAAACGAAAGAAAAATGAAAAATAATACAACAACATATTTTAATTTATTCGTGGTTAAATTATATTATGTTAGCTAGTATAGACGAATGGATTTAAAATCGACAAAAACTCACCCAAAATGACAAATATTGTTGTTGAGACGAATTTGTTCATTTTTGATTTTAATCGGGTCTCTGTTATTTCAAAAACCGCAATAGATATTATATGAAGCAAAGCGCAACAGGTAGACTAACGAAAAAACTACGATGGAATTTTAAAATCAACGATGAGCTTATTAAGCACTACATAATATTATTTGATGTGTATGATGTAGCGGTATTGTGTCAATGAATACAATAGGTGTTAATTTGCATATACACCGATACACTGTTATACGACAAAATATAGACGAAAATATAATATTAGGCTATGTGAAATGAAAAGTCGCCGAAAAGATGAATTACGTTTCTTTTGTATATCCGATACAGTAAGAAAATTGTGTGATACGATTTTATTATAGAGGTCTTGACATATAGCATACGTATCTAGGTAGAAGATATTGAACTATATGCTACATCATGATTTTAACCTTTCATCCGATACAGATATTCACTCTGTACATTGGTGCGATTGCAAAATATGAACTTGTTATTTTTCATTCTAAATTATTGATAATAATTGACCCCTATTGCCTATTAATAATGATAAACAATTAATATGTATAACGTATGTGCATATTTTTGTTTTGTTTTTTTTGTCCATTGTGTACATTTTATATTAACTCAACGCATTTTTAACGAGTAATAAAACTACTTTAGAAATTGAAAATTTGCTTATAAAGCATCTATCATTATACAGGTAGTTACTTGTGGTACTATAATTAAGAGTAAACACGAATGAAATATGAACAATTACATCGGGCATTATTAATATAGGCACTAAGGTAATTCAGATTAGTAAAAACAGTTTTTAAATTTAAATAAATAAATAACAGCTAGATTAATGAAAAAAAAAAAATGCAGGTTGTTTATGTAATATTTTTTTTTTTTTTTTGTTTAGGAATAGTGGTCTAAATGATTCACGTAATATAGCAAATTGGATCCATGGATTAGTACCAGGTACCTATAATATTAGGTAAGTATAATCTGCAGTGGACAGGGTATACTGGCGTGGCGAACTAACATTTTTGTGACTCGAATATTTCAATAGACCTTCCACTCATTCACCATGCAGCCAACAATTTTCACTTCTTGAATTTTTTTTTTTTTCTAAATGTCATAGGCGAAAATTAGGTGGAACTTGAAGCTTACTCCTTATCCTCTTTCTGGATCTATTCACGAATACAGCTAAAAATAGTTTCTTATATAGTCGAGTTGTTTATTGGTTTGTCTTTGGCTCCCGCAAAGTGTGGTTTAAACTATAACTAAACACTGAACACATAAAATTATTTATTATAATCGTTGTTCTTATTACAATTTATACTAATCAAAAATATTACAATATTATAATTTATAACCAATCGTACCTGTAGCTATTTAATTATTGTACCAAATTATTACACACCACTACCAAAATTTTCCAAAATCTCGGAAGAAATTGTTTTTCAATTGTATGTCTGTTAAATTTTAAAGTATTATAATAAAGATAAGATACGATATAATACTATATTTAAATAGTATGTAATTTAATTAAAGCCGGCTTAGTACGGAAAATACCCAATCAGCAAAACTATTGACCGCTAGATAATGTCATATTTTATAACTTCCATTAAGTTTTTGGTGAACTTACACTACTATACTTACTGTAGTGTACTTGATCAGTTTATATTAATTTTTTCATACTAAGTATAAAAAAAGACGTCCTAATATAATTAGAACGGGTGCAGCCACGGTTATAGGTAATTTAATGTATATCTATTAGCAACGATTAACCATTACTAACGAAAAAACTATTCTGAGCGGAGTTCATTTGATAGTGATGCTTTGTTATCAATGTATATATATGTCATATTATGGTAAAATAATTAGATAGGCATTATATATTATCTTTAATAATATTTGTTTAATATACCAATTTTCCCGTTTTTCCTACTTTTTTCCCGGTTTTCCCATATTTTTTCCTAGGCTTTCACATTTGCTGGAAAAACTCTTGAAAAAATCGAAAAATGACCTCCTTAAAATATCTCCCGAGTCGAATTTATTTTAAGAAACATTTTTATCATTATAAATTGAAGTAAAATTAATGGTAGAAAAGTTGTTTACAGGATAAAAGAAGGCCATAATATTTTTAACTAATATATTTCGTACATTTTGCCATTTTTCCTTAATTTTTTTGTGATTTTTCACATTTGATGAGAAAACTCTTGAGAAAACCGAAAAATTGTCTCCTTGAAGTACCTCCCCACTACGATTTCCTTTTAAAAAACTATTGCCATCGTTTTGATTTATTTTGATTTTAATAAAATATATTTGAAATCCTTGTATGCTATAGGAACAATTATTATTTATACCATGCCATGTTTCAGTTAGTATTATTACGTCTAATAGCTTAAAATTAGTATCATTCTCATATGATGACAACAAATAATCAAAATTTGCATTAGCATTTTTAATATTAACGCGTACAACATTTATGAATTTATTACGGGATAAGTTAAAAGTGTTTTCATAGGTATTTTTTTAATTCAGCGAATGAGTATGGAATACACTAAATTTTAGTAAGTAATATTATTTCCGCACTAAAGTTCTATAGATACATACCACTTGATTATTTTTCGTCAGTCACACTTATATTACATATCATAGGCGCAGCTAGGGTGGTACTAGGGGGTCTATAGCATCCCCATGTTTAAAATTAGTACCTCCAAAAATACCCAATCAATTGTTTTATAGAACGCACTGAACATTTTATCCGTGTATTTTATAGTTAATAAACAAAACAAAATACAGATTACCTACAGATTATGTGTATATACAAAATTAAGTTAAAAGGTTGTGATATATTTTTGTATAAAAATTGTTTATGAAATTTGAAGTTGCTTATTATAAATGCCGTGTAAAGGATATTGTGGGAGTATTGTCCTTATGGGTCTCTACCCATACGCGGAGGTGGGCTAAAGAGCTGAAGTCTCCTGTTGACCGTATTTATATATATATATGTACACATACATATTTGTTTATATTTTTCAAGTTTCAACTGTAACAATAGTAAAGAAGAAATTTTTTACATAAAATACGCTATATACGTAAGTAAATAATTAAATTTAACACCGCTATCTATTAGTAACCTTACTATACTACTATAATATATTATATATAGTATGTTATCGCAAAATAAGATTTTATAAGATTTATAAGATTATTATTTTTTATTATTTGTTTTAACTGTGGTCATACTCGTTATAAAGTATAAAGTATGGTTTTGTTATTATTACAACTTAGGTGGTTGGTATTCCCATGCATACGCAGGCATCCACGCAACCTTAGATAATTAGATTAGATTGATCGCAAATTTTAATATTGAAATTACTGAACTGGTGTTAACAATAACAATTAACGCATCGTTAAGTTAGCCCACGGATATTGTAGATAATAATATAACCTTTAATTAGTGAAAAACCATTAGGTAGGTATGTAGATAATTTTTTTTTCACTTATTTCCCTTGAGTATCAAAGTAATAATATTTTTGTATAGGTTTTTCGTTTTCCGTATAAAACGTATCTCACAGTTTTGCACACTAAATAACTATTTAATTATTTATTATGGCAGACAAAATATCGAATTTTTTCGATTTTTGGTTTAAAGAAAAAAAAACGGTAGGTAAGTATGCATTCCACAATTCATAAAATCCTAATTTTGGTTGACTTCTGACTTTTTTAATCCTCTAATAGCTTAATAATTATATTTTACTGTCCAACATTTTCATAATTACCTAAATATTAATTTTTAGATTCTGAGGTTAGTGAAAAATGTATTGGTTTTACAAAGATGTTGAATTTTTTTTTTTTTTGAACACTTTAACATCCAGAAATATTATTCAGATTATCAAATACAACACCTTTTTTGAAATAAAATGTTCTCTGGGTAGTACTTTAGGGAAGTAATTTTTTGAAATTCTTATTAATATTCGAGATAATGAAGAAAACCTGGTTCTTTAGTTTAAAAAAGATTGAATAATTAAAAATAAGGTTGTCATTGGCAACCGTTTTTTATTTATTTTTGTTATTATTCAAATTTTATTATTTTAATTTGTTTTAAACAATCATTGTTGTCATGGAAAAGCACATTGTTGTAATCATTTTACCCTATTATGAAATATATATATATATCACATATTGTTTACAAAGCAACACTATCAACTGAATTCCGGTCAGAATCGTTTTTTCGGTAGCAATGGTTTATCGTTGCTTACAGATATACATTAAATTCCCATTTGAATTCTACCTTCCTAACTTCCCACACACAACAGTGGCCACGTGCGAAGTATGTCCGTCCTTTTAAAATGTTTTTAGTGTCCCTCTATTTTATGTTTATTATTAGTCAGAAGAGAGAATGCGCCTAATATATTTTTCAAACTTGTGACAAAACAACTGATTAATTATCAATTTTCAAGCCCTCCTATTAAAAAATCCTGCCTACGCCATTGGTCTGTGATGTATCTATAATTTTAGCACCTCCTAAGTTGGTGGTCTAATTGCACCAATAATTACGTTGCATATATACACATTATTAATGTCACTTAACATATTGATATAATGATATGCTATATCCTATTTTTATCTTAACATTCTTTCTATTAAGTTAAATTATGATTTTATGCATCGTCATACGTGTATTTGCATTAAATTACATTTATATTTGTACATTTGTTGTATTTTAATTGTAGGTATCCAAAACGTCCAGGAAATCTTAAAAATGGATTTTATAATACCTATACATTTTTACATATAAATTAATAATCATATAATATGTATATGTATGCATTTAATTAAATAGGAACTCAATGAAAATGACATACCTATTTCACATTACATTATTTATTTTATTTTATTTATTTAACATTAAAATCTAAGTGTAATGCAATAAATATTGATAAAAAATTAATGTTATATATTCTGTTAGTTCATAATATTACTACTATTCAAAATATCATAATTGACAGCAATAATTTGTCTTTTATTGTGATCACACCGTAAATACTTAGCCGGCGCGACCATATATTTCCGAAAAACCTCTCTTATCTACTCAATACTCTAACCATATAATAACAATAATACAATATAATAGGTATATCATGCATAATATCTATATTCTATACACAATATAGTTTGTTAGCACTGCGCGTAATTGTATGATTTATTTTTATTAAACTGTACAAATAAATGAATAAACTATTATCGAAGTAATCAAACGATTTTAATGGAATAACAAAACCCACATAGAAAAACATACAATGTGTTGTTATAATGTATATAATAAAATATTAGTTATTTTGTATTATTTTCAGAGAAAGGATATTGGGTATTAAACAAATTGACGAACGCTAAGGAAGTCTGTGCACGGAGTTTCTCTACGGAAATACTCGTACCACTGGTCCGTCAACGAGCGTGTATAATAGTTGTTACAAAGTGTCAACGCAGATAATACGCACGGCCGTGTATCCATCACGGCCCTAAAAAATTAAACGGTTACAATATCATATCGTCGCGTAATAAGAAGTAGTGTAGGTGCTATATTTCAATACATACTTGCATTGATTTTCAAATTCCCGACCTGTATCCGAATCGGACAGATGTGTTTGCTTGTACTTACTGAACGACAAATTCACACATTGATTCAATGGTTTTGATAGCACATATAAACATTGTAGGCCACCTACCACGTAAAATTCTGCACAGACAAAAAATGTATAAATAATAGTGAATTATGACATGATTATTATAATATATTATTATTACGATAACGCGGCGTTATATTATGTAAGAAATATGTCTGAAACAATTTAAATTATATCATAAATATATCTATGTATACGGTATACTTATCTATAGTAATAGATAATGAAATAAGTAAATAGTTGGTAATCTATTAAATAAAAATCAAAAATGTACATTTTCGCATATATATATATATATGTAAAAAAAAAAATAAAAAAAACATAAATTTAGGTAATCCAGTGCTCGGAAGGAACTCGTTCTTTTGATTTCGTTCACTTTTCAGGATTTATCGGGAACAGGTCTGCGATGGAACGAATTGGAATTTCGTTAATTTATTTTAGGAACATGAGCGATTTTTTTCGGTTTTTTTTTTTAGATATAACTGCCTGATTTTAATCATTTCAATAACCCTAAACATTTTTCAAAATATATTTTTTTTTTATACATTTTTCCCAATTATGTCGCGTGAAGAATATCTGCAAATGGCGTACATGGAGTTCATAAAATATTAAAATTTAATAAAAGAAAATGTACAAATTCATATTTTTATTTGAGTAACAAAACATTTTCCTTTGTTAGAAACGAAAAAGGAACTAGTTCTTTTCTTCAGTCCTGGAACCAACATGGAATTAGTTTTGTCTTAACAAGGTGAACTAATTCCTTTTATAATTGAATTTTTCAAGCTCTATCTTTCTCGAGATATATTCTTTTATAAAATCGTTTATTAAAATATCGCATCATTTTTTCAGAAATATTCTTGTTCCTCGTGCAACATGATTTTCGAAGCAACAAATCGACTATCGCTAATTTAATAGTTAAAAACAAAAAAATTGGAAAAGTCAATGTTTACTAATGATGAGTCGTTAAACGTTTCGACATTTATGATGATTTAATTTATATCCATCACCGCTACTAAATAATATCAATTTATTTGTCATAAAATACTACGTAAACTTACAAAGTTATATGATAATATTTGTCATTACTTATTATGCTCATTTATTATTTATTAATTATACTTTAGATTCTGAGTGGACCGAAGTAACAATGATTATGGTGTAACAAAGATGTTTATTTATTTTTTTTAATATGTTAACAACTTTTCTACCAAAAGACTTACTCAGATTTCTAAGTTTAGCACCTCTTCTGAAAGAAAATCGGTGTAGGAAGATACTTTAGGAAGATCATTTTTTGATTGTCTCAAGAGTTTTCCAAGCAAATGTAAAAAACCGGGATAAACATGGGAAAACCGGCAAAAATGTAAGAAAATTGGGAAAATCTGTACAAATATTATTAAAGAAAATATATAAAGCCTATTTAATTATTTTACTATAAAATGGCATATATATTGTTGATAAAGTATCACTATCAACTGAACTCCGCTCAGAATTTTTTCGTAAGAAATGGTTTATCATTGCTTACAAGGTATACATTAAATCATCTATAATAGTGGCTGCACCCGTCCCTATTATCTTAGGACGTCTTTTTATTTATTTAGTTATTATTTATTGTAGTGACAATGAAATAAATGTTTAAATTAATTTAAATGTTTGGAAACTTCGACAATTTTAGGAAATGAACGATTCATCATCAATAGCAAACATCTGTAATATGAGTGATATTTTGTTGTAAAATTACTGTAAAAAAAAAAAAATAATAATAATAATTGTATTCTAAAATTCTTATTTAAAGTTTTAAAGATAATATAAGAATCACTGCGCAAAGTTCTATAATTATTCCATAAAACGAAAGGAAAAAACTTAAAAATATTGAACAGATAAAAAAAAATATTACATTTGCAATCGTGAATCACTCTGTATAAAAAAAAAAATATAAAATTATACATTAATTATAAAATAGTGCATTCAGAAAAAAAAAAAAGAAACCTTGAGTAATATTTTAAAACCTATAATACATTTATATTTGTATAGTAATTGTTTTGCCAATATTTTATACTTATACCTATACATATAATTATGTCTAAATAATTATGTTTAGACTTTTAAGATAAAAATAGTAATAATAAAATAATTTATGAGGTATTCACGATTTATTGTTAAACAAAACTCTTACCTGTCAAACTCTGGCTGTCCAGTGAGCATATAAATGTTATAAAAGTTTCTTCAAAAATTAATTTAATTATACTTGGGTCTGCTCTGTTATCTCCATTTGCGTATTTATCGATTTGATATCGGTATATATCATTACATTTTAGAAAAGCTGGTACATTCCTGTAAAAAATTCATACGTTTTTAATAATTGTAGCATTTAAACAAATTATCTATGAAACTTACTGGCAGTATTTTTTAGATACCTGAACAATATTACCCGAATCTAAATTATAGAAATCTTCTTTAAATAATGTAGTATTAATTACGTTTTTGATACAAAATCTATAGTCTTCCGAGATTTTCTAAAAAAAAAAAAGAAAAATTGTTATTATTATTAATTAGTATGATACATCTAATAGTATCTATATTCTATGTATTAACTATAGGAATATATTTTGAATAAATTCTAAAAACATAAGTTAGTTTGTATTTTTTAAAGTTAAGAAAAGCTGAGCTGCTACAATTCATGGATGTGAATGATGTGATAATGTTATAAATTAAAAGTTAAAAAGCTATCCTAGGAAGATGGGAACGGGTGCAATCACTGTTGTAGGTGGGAAGTTGAGAAAGTAGGATACGGAAGAGAATTGAATATATATCTGTGATCAACGATAAACCATTACTAACAAAAAAACGATTATAACGGAGTTCAGTTAATATTGATGCCTTATCAACAATATTTAAGTCATATTATGGTAAAATAATTAAAAATTCATTATATATTTTCTTTAATAATATTTGTTTAATATTGTACCGATTTCCCATGTTTTTTCTTGGTTTTTCACATTTTTTTGAAAACTTTTGGGAAAATCAAAAAATTACTTTTCTAAAGTAGCACCCCAATAAAATTCCTTTTTAGAAAAAGTCTACATTATATACAACGAAGTGAGCTTTCTGGTAGAAAAAGTATTCACATAAAAGAAAAAGAAAATAAACATCTTTGTAAAACCAATACATTCTTCACTACACTCAGAATTAAATTGTAGGAAACATAACGTCATTTAATTGATATTTATAGTCTGTACATAGCTATATACTATCACTTCTGATGAATTACGATTCTTAGCAAAGTTCGGTTAAAGATATCATATTGACAATTATTTCAAAACACCATGATTTTTACGATTTTCGTCAAAATTTAATCTTAAACGTAAACAATAAAATACAATTACCAAAAAAAAAAAAATAATAAAAATAAAATTCCAAGAAGTTATGAAGGGATATTGTTAATTTAATCTGATAGGTAAGCCGGGTATGGTAATAATAATTAATATAGCAGCAGAATTATCAACTAGTAGTAAACTTTAATCAATTGTGTATAACATTATATAATGAACCTATGCTATGGAAAAAAGTTGTGAAAAAATACACTTTACAAATAATAGAATACAATTAATTATCATTTATACTAGGTACTTTCTGTTGATTATTTTTAAATTCAAAAGATTGGTTGGAGTATATTAGATACTATTTATAACAATATCACAAATCGTAGAAAATTTAAAAATTCCTTGCCTGAAGAACACTCATTTTGTTCGCCTCATCAATCATTTGCTCAATTTCACGTTGGCTCTTTACAGGTACAGACATCATTGCTTTTTCGTCTAAATGCTCTCTTGGCTGATTATAAACCGGCCCTTTTTCGTCCTCCGTTATGTATATTTCACTTGGAAATAAATCATTTGTAATTCTCATAGCACCACAGTTTTTGTGGTTGGAAATCACTGAAACGTCAAAATCATTTTAATATGTTGAGCAAATATATAGAACGAATTGTATTAGTAGAGCGTAGATCGTGTGGTATATGATTAGTATATAGAAATAGAAAATCTTTGCATAAACTCACAAACAAGGATTATCGTGGCAACGAAAACGTAATCTCCCATGTCTGAACAGTTTTGAACGAATTTAATTGTCTGCTTAGAAAACCGAATAGCGGGTATAAGGACGAAGTAAACACGAGCTAACTATAGTATACAATTGTCAAAAATTAACAAAAATAAACCGACGAACAGAAAACTGACTGCAGAATAATATGCCAAGTACTGCACGTTTACACTGGTTTATATAGCTGACGCTGTGGCCACAGTTTTATATTATATAGGTAGTGAAGAGGTAAGATAAGTAACAATTGTGAAGGAATAAAAATCCGATTAAAATAAAAATACACTAATATCATATCTCGGAAAAAAAGTGTTTATGCTATACGAATTATTTCACGATAGTCATAATACGATAATGAAACACTTTTATAGTTAAGTTAAAACAAAATAATAATAATAAAATACACGAGTGTCGATCCCAAAAATTGAAAATATATTTCTCACTTATTTTAATACTTTGATGAAAGAAAAAAATCTATCGTCCACCGTTAATAAAATCACTAATTTCTAAAAGAAATTGGATACTGTCTAATCGGCTCCCGATAGTCTGAAGTTTCAATGTTTGACATTTAAATGTATAAAAATGAAATCAAATGTTGTTTTTTTTTAATAGAATAATTTTTTTGTCTTCTTAAACATAATAAAGTATAAATTATAATTGAAATATTTTTTTCTAACTTTTAGATTCAGAGGGTAGCGAGGGATCTATTAGTTTTACTATTGTTTTATTATTTTTTTTTTTACGCCGAAGAACAACTTTTACATCAAAAAACTTATTTCGAAATAACAAGTGTACCGCCTTTTTTGAAAGGTAATTTCATCTAGTTGGTGGAAGGTAATTTTTTGAGGGGTTCTCAAAATAATTGGGAAAAACCCGAAAGAAAGTTATAGGTAAAAAGGCAAATATTTAGCCGTGGCTAAATATTTATTACGATTAGCCGTGGCGTCACCGAATTCATTGTTTTAAATTTTTGCCACTTATGTTTTATACCAGAAATCTTGTTATTATATGATATGAATTATATTTTTGTGTATGTGGGTGAAGATAATTAGGAAGTTCACGTACCATAAACTGAATACGAACAAAAAAAATTGTATTGCACGCACGTACGAAAATAATATAATATATAGTAAACACATATTTCGAGATTAGTAAATATTTTCGATTATAATATCGCAATATCTTTTTCCGCAATTTTTATCAGCTTCATTTTTTTTTTTAATATTTTCAACGTAGCGTACCTACACCTACAATTAAGATTTCTGGAATAAAACTTTAATATTTTAAAAATTATTATGTTCGTAAAATTATTTCATAGGTGTATCTTTGTCATATCCATAACAACACAAAATCCGTTTTGGATTGGCCACATAGGACTGGGCGATGATAAAAGGAAGCGACTATTTAATTCTCGGACCACTCCAGGACCAAAGATAGTCTGTAGGATTCCGAATGTACGAGTTCAACGTCCCTACGACTGTCAATAAAAAAACGCAATAATAAAACGTGTTCATGTTTCAGACGTTCATGTTACTGTTTTTCAGGCTTATTGCATACAGACTAATAGCGGTTAGACCTTTCAAGAACTACAATCATTATAATATAGTAACAATCATTTTACTTATTTTAGTTTATGGGTAATTTATTACTTTTACAAAAAAATAAGATCAATAGAATTATTATAACATTTAAACTGAATAAATATATACTATTGTATTAGTATATTATTACATAGTATTATATTATTTTCTATCTTTTTGTAAAATAAAACCAGTAATACAACTGTCAAAAATTTTAAAATAATCTAAGCTCCACTGATACTCGCCATTGATACAGTTTATAAAATAAATATAATACTATATAATAAGTACTATACTTATTCAGACTATTCAGTTTATATGTCATAATAATTTTATTGATCTTTTTATTTTTTTTTTGTAAAAGTAATAAACTACCCTCAAAATAAAATAGGTAAAATAGCTATTACCATATGATTTTAGATTTTAAAAGGCTTAACTGGTGTTAGTCTATATGCAATAAGCCTGAAAAATAGTTGGCCGTTTAAAAAAATAATAAGTAGTTCGCAAACAGAATACCTCATTGCAAAGAGCCTAGTATTTTTGCAAAAATAATAATTTTCCATATGGCTTACGACATATATATTTATATATTATTTAAAAATAATACGTATAACAATACATACTAATAACAATACGTAAACAAAAATATACGAATGCTCAAACTCGGATTAAGGGAGGTATGGAAGGGGAGGGTATATCCTCGGATCACATGACTTCGGAGATCTCGATTACTGCCACAATATATCCATTATGATTGTTGATTGATGTTCGTTATTTATGCATTAAACCGTTAATTTTTTGGTATTTTATTGCTTTTCAGTAACTTTTCGTTGACGTCCTTCAGTAAAAACTATCAGATCTAAATATTATGTATTATTTTGATTTTATTAAAACATATTGAGTTATGTTTTTTAAGAATTTTTTTTGTATTATTTTTTATAAGGAATTCGTTGGATTGTTTGGCCTTCTAAAGTCTAAATGACTAAATCCGGACTTGCAATTTATACTAATATTACGTCAACGTATGTAATTGTGTATTTTCATCTACCAAAATATGTGGGATGGAGAATCCATTTCCCTATAGAATATCAACGCACATATATGCTAGAGCGGATCTTATTGGTCAATTTTTTTATTCCGGTAATTTGTACATTTGAGTTTATGGTGTTTAAAATTCTACTTTAAAAATATTGTTGGGGCGCTTAGCCAATGTTGCTACTTAAGGACTTTAGAAAAAATCTAGGAACAAAGGTCTACTAGCTATTAAATACTTGTATCAGGTAATTTCGATCACTAAAACTTAATGATTTAGTCCTTAATTTGTACATTTTGTATACTTTTTCTAGTTTTTCGTGAGCCAATTTTCATTTTTCTTCGGATATAATAATTTTTAGCACATTATATTTCTCTTTAAAATGTTTAGATTTTAATGAACTTTATGTAATTTATCATAACCAACTTTAATTGTTAAACTATTTATAATTCTGAATTGATTTTTATGAAACAAAATTATATAAACATTTCGATGTGCTTCATTTTGAAATGCTGTTTTTTTATTACTAGATACAAAGTAGCTCCTGTCAATTTTTAGCTCTGGTGTTTTATCTACATCGTCTATATACGTAAATGCAAGCCTGCCGATTGTTTTATCAAACAAATCTCGACGGTCTTGTGAATATTTTTAATCCGTATCATATTGATAATTCTCTACTTGTATACCTCTATATGATAACAAAGACCGCATATCTATAGGCGACTATTTCTACATCGACTTTATTTACTTTTAGTTTGAAATTTAATATAATCACGAAGATGTGTTTTTTTTAAAAAATATTTAAATATTGTTTGATTCGGAATGGATTATTATTAATAATATTACAAAAACTTAGAAGAATGTATATTTATACGGTTGGTCAATACACATATAATACGCAACGATTGAATAATAATTTTTATTATAGTAATATAAATTATCCTTCGGAGTTAAAACAAATAATATGTAAGCCATTTGAAATTTTCACAGCATACAGATAGTTGTTTCCATCGTGACGAAAACATTCTACTTTGACGACAAAATATATTATTGTTAATTTAGTAATTTCAATTTTATATTTATCCGATGTGTTAAAACTATTATTGTAGTTACTTCTCAATTAAATACTTAACGTAGATTCAACATTATGTCATTCTTCAGATCACTCAAGTCAAAACTGCCGTGGGCAAAATTAGTAATGGATGGGATTCAACAAAGGTGTTTTCGCACGTCGTCTGCTGCATCTAAAGGCAGTCAAGTTTCTATGAGCAACTTAGACACCGTACCTTTGCCATATGAATGTTTGCAGAGCCGTGTAAAAATCGTTGCCGATAGAATAGGAAAGCCATTGTCCTTAACAGAAAAAATACTTTACTCTCACTTGGATGACCCCAAGAACCAAGAACTCAAACGCGGTGAATCTTATTTAAAATTAAGACCTGACCGCGTGGCTATGCAAGATGCAACGGCTCAAATGGCTATGTTACAATTTATTTCATCTGGTTTACCAAAAGTCATGGTTCCATCCACCATTCATTGTGATCACTTGATTGAAGCTCAGATTGGTGGGAAAGAAGACTTGAAAAAAGCCAAAGAAATTAATCAAGAAGTATATGGGTTTTTGCAAACGGCTGCCGCTAAATACGGAGTTGGTTTTTGGAAACCAGGTTCGGGCATAATTCACCAAATTATTTTGGAAAACTACGCTTTTCCTGGATTATTAATGATTGGTACTGACTCTCATACACCTAACGGTGGTGGTCTCGGCGGTTTGTGTATTGGAGTTGGTGGGGCGGATGCTGTTGATGTTATGGCTGACATTCCATGGGAACTCAAATGCCCAAAAATTATTGGTGTTCACCTAAGTGGAAAAATGTCTGGTTGGACTACACCAAAAGATGTTATCTTGAAAGTGGCTGATATTGGTTATACTGACGACTTGCGCATGTATTAATTGAAAATATTTCCTGGATAATCAATGATTGGTACTGACTCTCATACACCTAATGGTGGTGGTCTTGGCGGTTTGTGTATTGGAGTTGGTGGGGCGGATGCTGTTGATGTTATGGCTGACATTCCATGGGAACTGAAATGCCCAAAAATTATTGGTGTTCATCTAAGTGGAAAAATGTCTGGTTGGACTACACCAAAAGATGTTATCTTGAAAGTGGCTGATATCTTAACTGTGAAAGGAGGTACTGGTGCTGTAATTGAGTATCATGGACCTGGAGTTGACAACATATCGTGCACTGGTATGGCTACGATTTGTAATATGGGTGCTGAAATTGGTGCGACTACTTCATTGTTCCCTTTCAATCGTCGTATGGCTGATTATTTGAAGGCTACTTCACGTCCTGATATTGCTGAAGAAGCTGCCAAGTACAGTAAGTCCTTATTGACACCTGACAAAGGCAGCAACTATGATCAGTTAATCGAACTTGATTTAAACACATTGGAACCTCATGTAAATGGACCTTTCACACCCGATCTCGCTCATCCTATTTCCAAACTTGGTGACAACGCCACAAAAAATAATTGGCCCCTTGAAATCAAAGTTTGTCTAATTGGAAGTTGCACCAATTCAAGTTATGAAGATATGTCAAGGTGTGCCTCTATAGCAAAAGAAGCCTTAGCTCATGGGCGCAAATCAAAAATTCCATTTAATGTAACGCCTGGATCTGAACAAATCAGGGCAACAATTGAAAGAGATGGAATAGCACAAATATTGAGAGATTTTGGCGGTACTGTATTAGCTAATGCGTGTGGTCCTTGTATTGGTCAATGGGATCGTAAAGACGTCAAAAAGGGTGAAAAGAACACAATTGTCAGTTCGTACAATAGGAACTTCACTGGACGAAATGATGCTAATCCAGCGACTCATGCATTTGTCACATCCCCTGAGCTCACTACCGCATTGGCCATTGAAGGTTGCTTAAACTTTGATCCTACAGT